TCAACTCTATTTAATTGTACTATTGTCTAGCCCAGATCTCAGTTTTTTTCCACAAGAATGGCATGACTTTGACAAATGCTTTCCCAAAATCTAGTTAAACGGTAATACAGCATTCTCTTGATCTCCCAGTTTAATAATCTAGTCAAAAAAGGAAATAAAGTTCATCTTTATGGCCTCAAAGTTAATCTAATATGACCTCTTCTTGATGAAGCCATCCTGGCTCTTTGTCATCACTGCATCCTTTTCAAAATATATTTTTTTTAGGGGGTAGAGAGGTGGCGAAGTGGATAGAGTACTGGCCCTGAAGTCAGGAGGACCTGAGTTCAAATCTGGCCTCAGACACATAACACTTACTAGCTGTGTGACTTTGGGTAAGTCACTTAACCCCAATTGCCTCACGAAAAAAAAATATATATATATTTTTACCAAGAAAATAAATAAAAGCCAGACAAACCTACCTACGCAAAATTAAAATCAACTTTGGTAGGTTTCAGTGTAATAAATAGCCCATAACTTGCATATTTGCCCTTCTGCCTTCTCCCCCTGCCCAACCTCCCACCCTGACTCTTCATATATAGCATGCTTCTGAGTGAAGGACTTTAAAAAATTTTGTTCCTAAGATTTTATTATGTTGATATGTTTTATCTTTGGTTATGTCATCTTTGGCTAATTGTTGGTAGCTTAGTCATTAAGCAGATTAAGCATCTGCAACACTGGTCCTAAAACACTAACTACTATACTCTATTTTTTCTTTCCTTTGTGGCTAAACACCTTGAAAAGGCCTCCACTTTCTCTCCTCTTACTCTTTAACTCCTTAAAATCAGGTTTACAACTTTATCATTCCACTGAAACTGCTCTCTCCAATGTATCAACGATCTCTTACTTTCCAAATACAATGGCCTTTTCTCAATTATTATTCTTGACCATCCTTCAACCTTTACACTGTTAATCACCTTCACATCCCAATACTCCCTTCTCTCTAGGTTTTTGGGACACCCTTTTTCTTGGTTCTTTTCCTTTCTTAGGTTCCTTTGCTGAATCCCAATTCAGATCACACCTTCTAATTGTCGGTGTCCCTCAGGGTTCTCTCTGGTACCCTCTTCTCTTCTCCCTTTATACTACTTCACTTGGTGATCTCATTAGTTCCCATAGATTTAACTGCCATCTCAAAGTTGAAGAGTCTCAAATCTACTCATCTTGACCTAACCCCTATGCTGACCTCCAATCTTGCATCTTCAACTGCCACTCAGACATCTCAAATGGAATGTCTAGTAGACCTCTTAAACTAAACATGTCCAAAACAGAACTCTTTCCCCCCAAACCCTCCCCCTCTCCTACCTTCCCTGTAGGTGTAGAAGGCATCATCATCCTCCCAGTCCCTCAGGCTCACAACATAAGAATCTTTCTCAACTATTCACTATCTCTCACTATCCATATCCAATCTGTTGCCAAGGCCTTTTACTTCTGCAACATCTCTCAAATATCACCCTTCCCCCTTCTGTCCTCTGACACTACCATCATTCTAGTATAAATACTATCACCTCATGCCAGGACTATTGTAATAACCTGCTGGTGGGTCTGCCTGCCTCAAGTCTCTTTTCAACTTCAATCCATCCTCCATTCAGCCACAAAAGTGATTTTCCTGAAGTGCAGGTCTAACCAGGTTACTAATTCCCTCCTTCCCACCCTTCTACTCTCTTCCATATAAACTCTGTGGCTCCCTATTGCCTCTAGGATCAAATTCAAAACCCTCGGTTTGGTATTCAAAGCCCTTCATAACTAAGCCCCCTCCTACCTTTCCAGTCTTCTTATACCTTATTACCTGACACATACTCTTTGATCCAGTGATTCTGGACTCCCGGCTGTTCCATGAACAGGACACTACATCTCTTGACTCTGGGTATTTTCTCTGGCTATACGCCATGCCTGAACACTCTCCCTCCTCATCCCCACCTATTAGTTTCCCTGATTTCCTTTAAGTCCCCAACTAAAATCTCATCTTCTCCAGGAAGCTTTTCCCAACCCCTCCTAGTGCCTTCCCTCATCTCCTATTTATCTTACATATGTAATACTCGTTTGGTTATTATCTCCTCCATCAGACTGTGAGCTCCCTGTGGGCATAAACTATCTTTTGTCTCTTTTTATATCCCCAGAACTTAGCACAGTGCTTGGCACATAACAGATACTTAATGTTTATTGCTTGGTAATAGAAGAGTTTGAGGTAAAACTTGCAACAATTGCTATGGAGGCCCACAGTCAGTAATAATGTTTGTTAAGTGATCAATACCTTTTTTCATATTCACCTTGGGCTTATAATTTCTCACCAAGCTATATCTCTCCAAGGAGAATCTTCTGAACTTCCAAGTCTTTAAGATCAGGTCACTTGGCCACTGATCCCCAAGTCAAGCAACATGGCTTGCTCCTTTCCTATAGTGAGTGGAAGTGCTTTCTTTTCTACATTTTTTATAATTTCTTTAATAACACTTTCTAAAACTTTGCCAGAAAGACAAAGTATCTAAAATCAGGGAAGTGATACTCTTGCTATATACTCTGTTCAAATCAGACCACATCTGAAATATTTTGAATAGCTCTGAGTGATACATTTTAGGAAACACATTCATAAGCTTCCGCTCACAAGAGGCTAGTGAGGGGAAAGGAGCTAGTCTATAGAACTAACAGAAGGAGTTGGGGATGTTTAGCCTAATGAAAAGAGAAGTTCACAGGAATATGGTAATTATGTTCAAGTATTTGAAAGTGTGTCACTTGTAAGAGATATTAGACTTGTTCTTTTTAGTTCCAGAGGTCAGAACTAGGAGCAGTATGCAAAAATACAGATACCATATAAAAATGTCATCTTCATATAAGAAAAAAATGTCCTAATAATTAGCAGTATTTAAAAGTGAAATGGGCTGCCTCAGGAAATAGTTGATTTAGGGATGATGGTAGAGGTCTCTTCTAACTCTGAGATTCTGTGCTTCTCTGTGATGAAGAGGTGGCCTTTCCTTCCAAGGACAATCCCTCTACTTATATCCTCGATCCCATCTCTTTAAGCAGGCTGCCTATGTGATTATTCCTTCTCTCTCTAATCTTCAACATCCTTCTATCTACTGGTTCTTACAAATATGTCCATATCATTTAAATGTTTTCTTCTTTTGACTCTACTACTTCTTCAAATATTATCCTCTTTTTTTTCCTTTTCACAAACTACTAGAAAAAGGTGTCTATACTTATTGCCTCCACTATTTTTTCTACTCTCTTCTCTCGACCTTCAATCCCATATCAATAACTGCCTATTGGACTTTTCCAACTGGATATCTTATAGGTATCTCAAACTCTACATGTCCAAAACGGAACTTGTTATTCTTCCTTTCAACCAAACTTTAATTTCCCTATCTCTATCAATGGCACTGCCAAGTCACCCAGGCTCCCAACCATAGTCATTGAATATTAATTGAAACTACCCCCAATATTAAATTCTATGCTAAGTTTATCAATTCTACTTTTATAATTTCTCTACTCATACAGCCACTACCCTAGTTAAGGCCTTTTCCCACTTCTGACCAGGACTACAGAAATAACCTCCTAAATGGTCTCTCTGCCTCAGGGTTTTCTACCCATCCTCCATACTACCATCAAAGTAATTTTCCTAAAGCACAAGTCTGACTAGGTCATTCTCCTCCTTAACAAGCTCCACTCCTCTGCTAGACTTTTAAAGGTCATCACAATCTGGCTATAGCTTACCTTTATAGACTTATTACAGTTAAACTGACCTACTTGCTTTTCCTCACACAAAACAATCCAACTCTCACCTCCTTGCTTTTGCACTTTGTCATTCCCCCCCCATGGGTAGAATGCTTTCCTGGCTCACCTCCACCTCTTGGAGACTCATTCAAGTGCCATCTCCTACATCAGGACCTTCCCATGCCACCATTAGTCTATACTTACTTTGTATATGCATAAGTGGTGTTTCCCCAAACAGGTTACAAGTTCTTTGAGAACAAGGACTGTTCCATTTTTGTCTTTTTATTTCCAGCATCAACCACTGCATATGACATACAGTAGTGTGGGAAAACTTTATTGAATTTTTTGAACCTAGCCCTGTGTGCCAGAGAAACCAGACTTGTTTAGAGACCAGACTTGGTTAATGCTTAACTTAGGACCTAGGTTGTGCTGACCAGAAACCCTCTCAGATCCAAAGACTGATGCAAGGAATGTGAGTAGTTTTCTCCTGTTACGCATCTGAAGCAACCCATCTGTGTAATTTAGAAAGTGCCTCTGTACTGGCCAATCAGTTACTGTTTCCTTCCTCCTTTGTTTGGATCCTATATTATGAGTAACCTACAGATAGGGGGTTGGGGGATATGGGCCACCCCATTTTTTGGCTCTCTCTTCTGCTAGATGACTTAATAAATTTATTTCCACATTATTTCAGTTTGAGGTTTTGTTCTCAGCCTAACAGGAGGTACTTAATAAATACTTATTGATTGATTGGCCAATTTCCTCATCTGTAACATGAAGTTGTGGGTTACATTGCTAGTTTTTCCAAGGGCCCCTTCAGATCTAAATCCTAGAATCCTATGAAACATAAAAGTCTAAAATCATCAGAGTAGACGGCATAAATGTACATAATTTATAAGACTCAATCTTTTCCCTTTCCAAATGGTAACATCCATTTGTTTTTATATTTATGTAATCAGAAAACCAATCTTTTCTACAACATAAAGAAATCACATGTTTCATTAAGCAGTTAGAGTTTGTCTATAAGTCATTTAGAAGTGCCCCCAAGGAGTTAAATGTGTTTGCTTTATTCTTATATAAAAATATTGGTTTTCCCACTGAAATGATGAATTCCTTGGCAAAGTCTGAGGGGACTCTAGGAACTTCTTATAAAGGCATATCAAAAAAGTAGATTTTAAAACTCTGGAAAAGAAATACTATAAGCCAGGTAAACACTGTATTATGTGTTATCAGCAATGATTTCAGTCATTCTTAATTCTTACCTGATTTCATTTCTACAAGTGTATTGGTGTTTATTTCATGTTTGTTTTTTCCTGGAAGAGGTACCCTTAATGGGATAATCTGAGGAACACAAACTGAACCAGCAGTCATTTTCTCTGTTACAGCCTAAGGAAAAAAAGACACATATCTGAAAATAATACACAATGTATATTCTCCTCACAATTTTACTCAGTTACTTGAATATAATTGCTAATAAGAAGCAATCTTTCTAAATTATGTAGAAAACTATAGAGAGGGCTGCTTCTTCAAAAAAAAAAACTTTTGTTCTAGTCCAGTGATTTCAGCACTGTGCTTGGCACATGGTAGGTACTTAATAAAGGTTTATTGACTGATTTAACTGGTGTAGGGAATGGAACTCCTGATGAGGAAATTTCCTCTACCAATGAAGATCCAACCAGTCTGAAATCTGTAATATTAGAGAATTACCTGAGGCACTGAGAGGTTAAATGACTAGTTAATTATCACATCATAGCCAACACATCTCTGAGACACCTTCTCTACTGACTTGGATAGACTGCCTCTATTTTCTCCAGATACGGCCTACTTACACACACACACACACACACACACACACACACACACAAACACAGACACACGAGGTTTCTGCCAGTCCAACAATCCAGACAACCAAAAAATCTGTGTCACACTTTCCAGAGCTTCCTAGAAGAAGTTAGCTCGTTAAAAAAAGCTCTTTCTGTCTCCCTTATACCAGAGCCAGGAGTTTGATCTTACCCTTTCTGCCTTTCAACAGTTGAAAAGAACATTTAGGAATGGCTACAGCATAATCTTTTCTCCTAAATAAGTAATGGGGGACAAACAGTAGTGCTCACCTCTACCATATGAAAGGTACTGAGTATAAATGCAAATAATGTCTGAATCTCTTTAGCTAGATGCCAGAAATAGGGCCACTTTCTAAAAGCTATTTTGCAATTAACTAAAAGTATTATAAGCTTCTCCCTGAAATTTTTGCAATCATAGACAAGTACCTTAGAGAACTAATCTCTGTCTCAGTCTACCTTTCCAATCTTATTACACATGACTCACCTTCTACCGCTTCACAGTCCAGCCCAAAAGGCCCACTTGCTACTCTTTGCGTACAAAATTTCATCTGCTGTTTCCATGCCTTTGCACAGACATGTCTCCCATGGCTGGGATGTTACCTGTATCTCTTAGAATCCCTAGCTTCCTTCAAAGCTCAGTTCAAATACAACCTCCTAGAAGAGGCATTTTCTGACTCCCCTAGGTGCTAACACCTCTACCTCACCAACTACTTTGTATATGTAGTATTATAGGTAGCTAGGTGGCACAGTGCCCTAGACTTGGAGTTAGGATAGACCTAAATTCCTATCCAGTCTTAGATGCTTACTAGCTGCATGAGCCTGAGGAAATCACTTAACTTTTACATGCTTAAACTTCTTCATCTGTAAGATGGGATAAAATTTGTTGTGAGGATCAAATGAGCTAATATTTGTAATGACTTTATAAACTTTAAAACTATATAAATGCTAGCTATTATTGTTATTATATTAAAATGTATACATGTTGTTTCTTTTAATAGAAGGGCTCCTTAACGGGAGGGGTTGTTTCATTTTTTTGTGCGTTAATCTATCCCTATATCCCTAGAGCCTAGCATAGAGCCTGGCACATAATAATTACTTAATAATTGTGTGTTGTCTGGTTGGTACTATGCCAACAGAAACATACTTCAGGGTATGGGTCTGGGGGTTAAGAGATGGGCGGACTTCTTCCTCTAATATTTCTATATTTATAAAATTTAGTTAAAATCAACATCCATGACATAAATTGGGAAAGCAGTGGTAGGTCAAAGCTGTCTATCTGGAAAAGTGAGAGAGCATTTTTCACTGCCGTGGCCATCATTACAAGTGCTAGTATTATAGGTATTGATTGTATTTTATTGTACAGTATTGATCTTTTCCTTCTTCTGAGGCAGGTGGGTGGTTCAATGGATAAACTTGAGTTTGAATCCTGCCTTAGACTTCAACTAGCTATGTGACTCTGGGAAAGTCACCTAAAATCTTTCAGCCTCAGTTTCCTCATCCATTAAATGGGGATAATAATAGTACCTACCTTACAGGATTGTTATGAAGATCAAATGAGATAATATGTACAAAGTACTTTGCAAAACTTAAGGCAACATAAAAGTACTATTATTGTTATTATCATACTCTTCCATCTTCTTAGTCCCTATCTCCTCAGCTCTAGCTGATAGTTCACTACTATTTAGCCCATAATTTCTGTTCCCTAGAGTTAAGTCTGGTGGGAAACAAAATGTAGGGTTAATTTTATTGAATCTATAAAGGAATCCTATGCATTGGTAGAAGAATGTTCTTCACCAGAAGTTCCTTATACCAATGAGGTCACAAATCTGGTCCTCCCTACCATGTAAAAAATTAAAGGACTCTAGCATGATCTCAACATATATGTGGAAGACATTATTGGAGGCATTGAGTACATATTTAAGTATACATTTCAGTCTCCTCACCAAATCCTTTTCTCTAATGACCAACCAAAAAACACAGACTTCATGGTCAGTTGTGTGATTCAAGATGTGGTTTGCTGTGGAAAAATCTTCCAACACCTGTCTTTTCCCTTCAAGGTACAAGCCTGGAGCAAGACATGTTCTTCCTTCTAGTACAAAGGTTCTTAACCTTTTTGTGTGTCATGGATCCCTTTGGCAGTCTAGTGAAGCTTGTGGACCCCTTCTCAGAATATTATTGCTGTCTACATTCGTAATTGAAGCGAACGATACATTTCAGCTAGAGGTTAGTAAAAACAAAGATATAATTTATTTTCCCATCCAAATTCATAGACCCCATGAAATCTATTTGTGAATCCCTTGGAGGGGGGCCTTAGAGGGGTTCCTTGTTCTAGAAGCACCTTGGAAGAAAATCACAATGCTTCCGTTTTCAATCTTTGCTTCTTTATCAAGCACCTGGCTGAGTGTGAAATATCATTCAATTAACCTCATTATGATACGTATATACATGCATATAAGCATATGTGCTTGCCATGATATACATGTATATATTGATACACACCTTGCCATGAAATGTATCTATACAGATACACCATTTATATGTATACATTTATCTATTATTTGTACATATATGCATATATATACTGTGTAAGCATATGTATGCATATATCTATACATATACACTAGCTATGATATCTATATAGATATGCTCACTATATGTGTGCATGTGTATATATATCTATACATATACAGTAGCTGTGATATATATGTGTGTGCATGCATGTGTATTTGTATACACACACACATATGGCAGCTAGTGGATAAATGCATGTATAGAGTGCCAGACTTGCAGTCAGGAAGACTCATCTTCCTGAGTTCAAATCTGGCCTCAGACAATTACTAGCTGTGTGACCCTGGGCAAGTCACTTAACCCTGTTTGCCCCAGTTTCCTCATCTATAAAATGAGCCTGAGAAGGAAATGGCAAACCACTTCAGTATCCCAAAGAAAACCACAAACGGCATCACGAAGAGTCGGGCATGACTGAAACGACTGAACACCAATAACACGGATAATTCGCCTTTCCTTCACCCGAAGCCAGCGGGCAAAGCTCGGCCACGGCGTCCCCGAGGTCATCCTCAAACGGCAGGTGAGGGGTCACCCCATTCATCTGGGCCAGATGCTTCCCGGGCTCTCCCATGCTGCTGCCCACCCCTGGTGTCTCCCGTGGCCGCCTAGACTGCCCCCAGCCCTCGGTCGCTCCTCACCGGGTCGGTCCTGAGGACTCCAGTTACCAGCGACGCTCCAGCACCAGCCAAACCCGAGGAGACTATTTTGATTGGTATAAATTCCGCTTCCTAGCAACTGGCTCCGCCCCTTCCAAGCCGCTGGGAGAATACTGCGAGTTCTCCTTCTACTCCTACTAAAGGAGCGTCCTAGGCGTCTAAATATTCGCCTGATCCATGAAGGAAAATACTGAAGAGGAGAGCCCAAGGGGACAAGGAAACCCATGAACCCATTGAACGTGTGTGGAAATAGTTTAAATAGTTAAGGCTGTACGCGAACCAAGCAGCACCCAATGGTCAAATGGGACCGGCGTGCCTTAGACAACTCATAGAGGGAGGAGGGTCCTTTGCTGCGATGCGACTCAGAGGAAAAGGCCCCCTTCTCCGCGGGTGGGGGGTGGAGTCCGGGGGGGTGGCTGGCGGAGGTTCGAGTTCCTGGTTTCTCGGCCCGGCTGACCCGAGCACGGCCTCCTCATGGCTGAGGTGAAAGTGAAGGCACAGCCGCCGGATGCGGACCCGGTCGAAATAGAAAACAGGTAAAAAGGAGACGCTGGGAATTACCTATAGTTTGCGTTCCCTTCACCACCAGCCCACCTTCTCCCGGGGAGTGAAAGGCCCCGGGGAGGGGGTACAGAGACTGTCGCGGGGCTTGGCGCTCCTCCCCTTTTTGCCCACCTAACCCTTTACAAGTCTGTGTGGCCTGATGAATTCGAATTGATTTCGGAAAGTTTGCAGGCTCTGAATTACTTAGCTTGTTCTTACTTCCGTCTAGACAGTTGCAATAACTTAAGAGGCTACAAGTGTAGACTGAGGTGACAGTGCTGGGCACATAGTAAATGCTTAAATGCTTTTTCATTCATTCATTAAATGACGTGAGTAAAAACATGCTTTTTAAAGTGTTCCAGTAGTGGTGATAATTTGACTATGTTTAGGTCTAGTGTGAGGAAATGTCACAGTCAAGTGTACAGCTTTTGTAAGAAGCAGAGAATTGAACCTAAGACCTTAGCCTTACTGGATGCTCTAACCCAGGGATTCTTAAATTTTTTGTGTCAGACCTTCTTAGAATGTTATTTTTTCAAACGCATTAGGGTTACAAAGGAAACTAATTATGTTACTATATAATTATAAAAATATTTATGAAGATAAGCTTCACAGGGCCTAGCTAAAAAGCTTTACCATAACCTAAGGAGAGACAGACATTCATAACATTTTATTAATTATTCTGTCAGCAAACATAACTGTTAATGCCTGTGTTAGGAGCTGGGAATACAAAGACAAAAGTGAAACAATTTCAGCCATCCTTCTATGGAGGGAAACAACATGTACACATATAAGCACATAAAAATATATATGAAGAGGAAAGACACTTGAAACTACTACCCTTGGTTCCTAATGTCCTGATTGGTGAAAACCAATCGTATCTAGCTGGCCCCATAACCTGACCATACTTCTCCTTATTGATCTTCCTTTCATGCTGCTGCTCTTTTCTTTCCACCTTGCTCTAGGAACAGTAATCAAATCAAAACTTTCCTTGCTTTTGGAAAGATATCTCATTTTAAGAGTCCAGTGATTCCTCTCACCGTTTTTGTACTTCTGGGCCAAACCATTCTAGCCCCCACTCTCCTATATACTTTTTCTCTCCCTATTAGAATAAAGGCTACTTGAGAGTTTGGACTATTTCTCTTTTGTCTTTGTATTCTCAGTACTCAGTGAAGTGCTTAACACATAGGAAGTGCCTAATAAATGCCTTTTTTGTTCATTCACTAAGCAGTTTGGGGAGTGTTATTAAGAAAGGTCAAATCAGCAAGCATTATTAAGTGGCTGCTATGTGCCAGATACTGTTCTAAGTGCTGGGGATACAAAGAAGGGCAAAAAACCAGTCCCTGCTCTCAAGAAGCTCATAGTCTGAAACAATATGCAAACAACTATGTACAAACAAAATATATGCAGGGTGAAATGGAGATAATCTCAGAGGGATGGCACTAAGATCAATGAGGACCAAGAAAGACATCTTGAAGAAGGTGAGACTAGGAAGCCAGGGAAGCAGAAATGAAGAGCCTTCCGGGCATGGGGGTCAGCCCATGAGTGAAAGTCTGGAGTCTGGAGTTGGAGCGTTATGTGTGAGGAAAAACAAGGAGACCAGTGTCACTGTACTGCAGAGTATATATGTGGGGAGAATGTAAGGTGAAAGAAGACTGGAAAGGTGTGGGAGGGGGAAGGTTATACAGGACTTTGAACCCAAACAGAGGATTTTATATGGGATCCTGGAGGTAACAAGGAACCACTGGAGTTTATTGAATAGGGAAGTAACATGGTCAGACCTGCACTTGAGGAAGATGAGTTTGACAGCTGAATGGAGGATGAACTGAAGTGGGGAAATAGTTGTGAGAGGCCAACCAGCAGGTATCTTCATAATCTAGGGGTGAGGTGATGAAGGCCTGCACCAGAGTCTTGGTAGTGTCAGGAGAGAAGGAGGCATAAGAGATATTTTGAAGGTAGAATTAACAGGACTTAACAACTCAGTGGATATGGGGACTGAGAAAGAGTTAAGGAATCAAGATGATACTGTGGTAGAAAGGAATAAAGTGTAATATATATGAAAAGGTAAGTTGGGGCCAAGTTGTGAAGGGCTTTAAATGTCAAAAGAGTTCATGTTTCATCCCATAGGCAGTAAAGAGCCACTGAAGCTTCTTGAGCAGGGGAGAAACATGGTCAAACTTGTGTTTTAGCTATGTGGAGAATTGAAGAGGGGAGAAATCTGAGACAAAAAGACTAATTAATAATAATAATAATAATAATAGTTAGCATTTATATAGTGCTTTAAGGCTTTGATCCTCACAACAACTCTGAGAGGTAGGTGCTACTATTATCCCCATTTTATAGATGAGGAAACTGAGGTAGGTGGAGTTTAAGTAACTTGCCCAGAGAGTAAATGTCTGAGGCTAGATTAATTGTTTTAGTAGTCCAGGAAAGAGATGATCAGAGCCTGAACTATGATTTGAGTGTGGAGAAGGGGACACGTATGAAAGATGTTTTAGTGAAAGAATTGACAAGACTTGATTGGATATATCAGCTGTGGAATGAGGGAGAGTGAGGAGATAACTGATTGGATATGTGGGATGAAGCAGAATAAGAAGATAATTTATTGTGTAAGTGAGAAGAGGGAGAGTGTTGGAGGATGATTCTGAACTTAGGAATTTGAGTGAATGGATGTATAGTTGTGCCCATATCAGAAACAGGAAAGTTAAACAGAGAGTTGGATTTGGGAAGAAAGATGAGTTCTGTTTTGGATGTATCGAAATGCTTACCCTATATACAATTTGAAAGTTCCAGTAGGCCATAGGTGATGAAATACTAAGTTCCTTCCTTCAGGGTAAAGACTTTCATTTTTTAGTTTTTGCATTCCCAGTGCCTAACCCAGTGCCTGACACATAATAGAGATTTGATAAATGATTGATTAACTGGAGCTAATGAGAGAGACCAGGACTAGATAAATAGTTAGGGAATAATCTTTATAGTGGTGATAATTGAACACATAGTAGCTAATGAGGGCATTGAAAGAGTGTGTAGAAAAAGAGAGGAAGGACAGATTCCTGGGGTCCATGCATAGTAAGGGGGAGGGAAATGGTTACAGAAAAGGAGATTGAATAGGAGGAAAACTGAGAGAGCAAGCATCATATGAGGAACATAGATAAAGCTAGTTTGCCTAGATCACAAAGGACTTGAGGGGGAGTAATGTATAATGATGCTGGAAAGATAGGTGGAAGCCAGGTTGTGTGAGGCTGTAAAAACTAAACTGATCCTTTAGGGTGGCAATTGGAGGCCTGTGGAGTTTATTGAATAGGAGAGGAGCCTGAACTAAGGTATTAACTGTGTGAGTGGATAAAGGGATTGGAGATGAGAGCTGTTATGGAGGTAGAAATAGAAAGATTTGGCAACAGATTAGATATGTAGAAAAGTGAGGAGTCCGGGATAATGCCAAGATCACAAACCTGGAAGACTGGGAAGATGGCAGTGGCCCATCTGACCTATATTCTTGGACCCAGAGATACCAATGCCAGGCATATACCCAAGGGAGGTCAGAAATTCAAAGAAAGCTCCAATATACATCAAAATAATGGAGGTGGGTGGCAAATCAAAGAGGAGATGTGTTATGATGATGTTATAAAACAGAAGATACCACTGCATTTTTAACAAATAAAAATAGAATCGTCATTAACTTTGAGAAGCAGTTTTGATTGGGTGGTGAGGTTGACAGCAAGAATGCAAGAGCTGAAACATGAGGAAGTGGAGGAAACTAGTATAGACAACTTTTTAAGGATAAAGGAGAAAGAACAAGATATGTTTGGAGGCAGCGGGTAAGGAACCAATAGATAGGGAGAGACTGAAGATTGGAAGAAAAGGGAGGTGATTATATAAACAGTTGTGCTGGAGGAGATAGGTGGGATGATATAAAGGGTACAGGTAAAACTCTTGGCCTTGATGAAGATAAGGGCTACCTCTTCAGAGACCATAGTAAAAGAGAAAATAAGGAGTGATATCAAAGGGTTTTTGAGATGTAGAATAGGGGAGAAGGAGGAGTCATATTGAATGGCCTCTCTTTCCTTAGTAAAGTATGAGAAGAGGTCCTCTTTTGAGAGGGTCAGGGAGGGGAGGGATGGAAGGCTTGAGGGAAGAAGATTTGGTTTAGCTGCTTTAGGAAGTGTGATAGAGAATCATTTAGGGAAGAATCAAAGGATTGCCTTGCTGTAGTGAGAGTTCAGTTGAGATTTGGTATCATAAATTTATAGTAAACCCAGTTAGCATGGTTGAGTGAATTTCTTCCAGCACTGTTCAGCAGTTCCAGGATTGTACCTGATCATGTACAGTTTTAATTCAAGTCAGGAAATACTTTTCTGAGACTTCTATGTACAAACTACTTGTGCTGGATTTTGGCAGGGATACAGAAATAAAACCATTCCCTGCCCTCAGGGAGTTCACAACTCAACACAAACAAACTGTCCAGTGACAGGGGAATATTTTGCAAGGAGTTTTATTTGGTATTGTTAACTTTGTTATTGTTATAGAGAACAACATAATGGCAAGGTGAAACAATGGCATTATCTTCAGAAATGTCAATAGCAAATGTATGAAATATAGGAAATTCCAAGTCTTTTGTGTTAGATCTCTCCATCTTAAGGTATACAGTCAGTCAAAAATGTTAAGTACTAATCACGTGACAGGCACTATGCTAAGTACTGGGAAGCCAAAGAAGGGTAAAAGATAGTCCCTCTTCTCAAGGACCTCACAATCTTATGGGGGGAAAATATGCAAGTAACTTTGTGTAAACAAGCTATAGACAGGATAAACTGGAAATAATAGAAAGACACTGAATTACAAGAGACAGGGAAAGGCTTCCTGTAAAAAGTAGTATTTTAGATGGGATTTTAAAGCCACAACTTTAAATCCCCCCCCCCAAATGTTCTCATATGAGTTTTACTCTAGTTTAAAACTCAGATTTAGTAAAGGGTGAGCAAAATCAATTATAACAATTATTTGTCAAATGTGGAAAAGATGAAACTATATTTCATGATGCTAGCTTTTTTCCTCACTCCTTGAAATGGGTTGTATAAAATATTGTTGATATCTTTGTTCATAGGATAATAGAATTATGTCATCAGTTCCCTCATGGGATCACAGACCAAGTTATTCAGAATGAGATGCCTCATATAGAAGCTCAACAGAGGGCAATGGCCATCAACAGACTGTTATCTATGGTAAGGTAAAATCTAATTTTTTAGGTTAGTCATTTATGGACCCACAATATTGGCTTCACCAGCTTTGATGAAGGTGCTGGCTGAAACTATACTCTTAGAATGCCTAGTTTTTAGCACCTGGGTTCAAGTGTACTTGCAAAATAATTGACCCCTTGCTGGAGAAGTAGTAAGCCCTGGCTGTCTAGGTTGCAGACCTAGTGTCTTCAAAAGGTCCTGTTCCCCTTATATTCCTATTTTAGCAGCTAACCATAGGAATGCATGGTTTAATTATATAAAAATCATATTGGCATAATTACTTGAAACGTTTCCCATCTATGTCTCATAATATCACAACATAATAACAATTCCTGTCATTGTGAGGGTCAGATAATTCATAATAATTAACATTTCCATAGTGTTGTAGGATTTACAAAGCCCTTTCCTCACGGCAACCTGTGAGGTAGTTGGTGAAATTCTTTTTGTCCCAGGTTTATAGATGATGAGATTGAAACTCCAGGAGGGTCAGTGAATTGCCCAGTCGTATATGCAGCAAATGTTAGAGCTTAGATTTAAATCCAAGTCTCCTGATAAGTATTGCAAGTTTTATTTGATTATAGAACATCTGTGCTTATATATGCTGAATGTCCATATTTTATTACTTAGGTAGGGTGATTGTTCACAACTTTTAAAAGTTTTTTCAAGAATTAGTGGGAACATAATTGAATGTACCTTGTTTTATTATGGGTAGTTCACAGAATTGCAACGTGGTGAGATACATCAAAGGCTTCTTAGTCCAAACCATACCTAAACAAGATTCCTCATGAAGGCTAGTTATTCAAGTTAGGGGTTAATAATTAAATGAGAGGGCAGAGTACAGTATTTGGGTGTTTGTGTTAGAGAAAACTATTATAAATAAGTATTTTGAAGTCCTTTGTCAAATTTGATGTATCAAATAATTAACTGTTTTCTATAAAAACAACTACAGGGACAGTTGGATCTCTTAAGGAGCAATACAGGCCTTCTGTATAGAATAAAAGAATCTCAGAATACTGGGTAAGTTCTTATATTTGTAAATAAATAAATGTAACAACATAATATTTTAATCCATGAATATTTTCAAAACCAAGGATAAACATCAGAAATAATATTCTAACAATTTTTTGCTCTCTAATAACATTTTTTTCCCAGTAAAATGAAGGGATCAGATAACCAAGAGAAGCTAGTGTATCAAATCATAGAAGATGCCGGAAATAAAGGTATTGAAGAATCATGTCCAAAATATTCATATTTTAGTATATAGTATGTAGTATGTAGTAGAAAGTACTCTTTGGATTCTATATTGGTGCTTGCTTGGAAAAATATGATACAATTTGCAATTATAACTTTGATTTTATATATTATCAACTATAAGGAAATTGTTTTTAAAATGAATGGTAATTTTAACCTGACAGTTCAATAAACAGATTGGTATAGTGGCCTCATAGTCACGAAGACTCTGAGTTCGAGGCCTGCGTCTTATACATAGGGGCTCTGTGACCCTGGGTAAGTCAGTTAATCTTCAGAGTCTGGGCATCTGTTCAAGGCTATAAGTTGCAGAGCAGGTATTCAGCTGAGTACAGCAATGAAATAACAGTCTAAAAATTTCAATAAGCAATTTTAGATTAAAAAAATTGTTTCATCAGTTCATATCAAACTATAGTTTTCTAAGCCAATAAAGTTAAATTCTGTGTGTATATATATAATGTATATATACTGTACACACGTGTATGTATAAGACTACACATACACAAAAAAATATGGCACATGTGTGTATTTCTTCCCTAATCTCCTTATTTAGGAAAGAAAATCAAGAAAAATATTTTCCCTATGTAATTCCTTCCCAAAATTTACTCCAGTTTTCTGTTTTGAAACAGTCATTTCTGCTAGGATAGGTTTACAGAGAACTTTGGGAACATTAGTTAGTTTCATTGGTGGAGGCAGACAACTTTCCTTAGGAACTACTTTGCAACAGATAACATGTGCTTTTGTTTAATAGGGCAGAGGGTTAAATTAAAGGACCTAAAAGCATGAAAACAAACTACTTACCTGGTTCTATATACAATGAGAGAAAGTAGATTAAGTAAGAAGTCATTCCTGTCTCTGTTAGCTAGCAACTACTCTTTCTTACTCATTTCACTGTTACCTCCTTTGGGTCTTCAGTAAGCTTAGCCAAGAAATCTAGCTCCTTCAGTTCTACCAACAGACTTATATGAGAGCTACATCGCCTTTCTTCTCAGAGGTACTTAAAAGGTACTTAAATCCTATTTAAAAGGAAGAGAAATCTTTAATAAAAATACTACTTTTCAATAATTTTGCATGTCACTTTGTGCTTTCTTCCTTTTCTTCTCTATTTTTTCCCTCTCAAATGTATTGACACATACACTAGCTTTTCTCACAGAAAGCCTTGCTTAAAACCTTTTTCATTCTGAGGTAAAGGTGGAATGCTTACTTAATCTTCTCTATTCTGATGATTAGGGGGAAAATATACATATTAAATATTACTTTTGTTTTTAATCTACTTTTTTAGATACTTAAAATACTTTTTATTTTCTTTTACCTAAGTATCTTTTTAAAAAAAATGAATTAGTAGGATTTGAGATTTTTAAAAATTAGAAAATAGTGTATTGACTGATTTGATTTTCTTTTTACAATCTAAGTACAGTTAGAAACCAGTAAGTGACTATAGTATTACATACATTTGCTCATATTCTTTATTATCATAGGCAGTTTTGGAATTGTAACAAAATAGCACATACGTGCAAATCAGGTATGTGTCATTTGTTTAACATGAAATATTTTGAGGAGTTCAGCTACTTAAATTTTTTTTTAGGTATCTGGAGCAGAGATATTCGATATAAAAGTAACTTGCCATTAACAGAAATCAACAAAATACTAAAGAATTTGGAGAGTAAAAAGCTTATCAAAGCTGTTAAATCTGTGGCAGTAAGTAAATTTTTTCCTTTTCACCTCTTCAGAATATATATGTGAAAGTTATATTATTTTTGACTACTCTTCTTTGTATAAAGTCCTCGGTAATCAGAAATTTGAAGCTTTAAAAAATTATTTTTTATTTAGTAGACTCAAAGTTCCTGTTCAGATATAGTCCTATTTCTTTATATCTTCTTGCCTTGACATGGCACAAAAGAAATTTTAAAGCCACTGTACTCTTTCAGGCAAGAATTAATGGTAGTGATCATTTCTCAACTAGTTATCCAATGGCAGACATAATTTCCATTTTAGTTTAGCTCTAATTTATTGATGTTTCTTCTATAACCCCCAACCCTACCACACTGATAAGCTCCTTTCACTACAATGGAGGTAGCTTGATTAGTGACCTTTAATGCTGACCCTTTAGAGATGTGTGTCCAAGTAACTCAGTTTACATAAGTTTGGTTAAAAGTTATAACTAATTTTCAGAGACTGAGCTATTCACCAGGGTATGCATATTGAGAAAGCGAAAAACTGTCTTTTTGGTATTTAGACTATGCTCACAGATTGATAGTTATATTATAGTCTTTCTTCATTTTAGGATGTTGCCTTCCTCTCCATACGCATATCTCTTTATTGGTTAGAATAATAATCTTTAGGGTTTGGAAAAAATTGTATTTGTCCCCCTAGTAAGATAAACTTTGCATATTTCCTCATAGGCCTCAAAGAAGAAGGTTTATATGCTGTATAATTTACAACCAGATAGATCAGTAACTGGTGGAGCCTGGTATAGTGACCAAGATTTTGAATCTGAATTTGTAGAAGTGCTAAACCAACAGTGTTTTAAATTCTTACAAAGCAAGGTAAGACATGTATTACTGCAATAATCTTTTTTTGTATATATGTAATCCTTTTAAATCATATTATTTAGAAATCAAAGGTGCTAGACTGGGTTATAAATATAAATATCTAGATATTTGCTTAACATAATTTCTTTAGTTTGGCAGTGTTGTATAAATTATGCATTTAAAAAAAAAAAACCCATTCATTAACATCCTCCTAACTGAAATTTTCCCTTATACTTTCAGGCAGAAACAGCTAGAGAAAGCAAACAGAACCCCATGATACAAAGAAACAGTTCATTTGCTTCATCTCATGAAGTATGGAAATATATTTGTGAACTAGGCATTAGTAAGGTCAGTTTCAAGTTTCTAACCTTTTTGCTTCATTAAATTTTAGTTCATAAGAAATGTTCTTATCAGTCTTAATGCCTTGCAATTGCTCTAAACTTTTGTTCAGAGGGTGGAATTGTATCGCTTCAGCTGTTACTAGAACCGAGAATGTGGGCTTCAGTCAATACTTAACAAACGTCCTTCAGAATTTGGGAGCTAGAGGAATTCTTTTACTTTTAAGAAAATAACAAGCAGGGGAATGAGCAGCAGGTTGACGTAGAGCTAACTCAGGTTGAGATCCAGGTTCTAAATGAGGATCTTGAAAAAGATCCTTTGATAAAGGCTTAAAGAGGGAGCTGAACACATCTGGCCAGGTTTGTCCTAGGTTTTACAGGGTAGCACCTTGTGTCCTGGAGAGTGAAGCCTGAGCCCAAACTGGAGAGGGGTGGCACAGAGAAGACTGCAGATAAACAAAATGGCATGGTGCCTTTCCAGGCTGGCACTGGGGATTTGTAAAGCCTCAGACTAGTTGAAGAGAAGGAAGAAATGAAGAAAGGAAGGAAGAATGCTTTGTATATTATCTTGTTTGCCCCTCACCGGGAGGTAAATGCCCTTGTTCCCATTTTACAGTTGAGAAAACTTAGGCAGGCAGTGATTAAGTGGCTTGTCCAGAGTGACCCAGCTAGTAAGTGTCTGAGGCTAGATTTGAACTCAGGCCTTCCTGACTCCAGGCCCAGCATTCTGTGATGCCACCCTCTACCACCTATTGTATGGAATGTATAACCAAGCACTATCTCTTTTATCAAGAAATTTTAGAAGTTTTAGTTTTAGAAGTAAATTTTTAGTTTTAGATGTAATTTTTTTTTCTGTGAAAGACTTAGATTTCTAACTTGAAAGAATAAATATTTTAGCAAGGATTTTGGTTATTGGACTGGAAATGTGAACTAGTTGGGTTCCATTGTAAGCACTGTGCCATGTGTTGACTGTATGCATACCTTTAGGATTGTGGGTTTAGGCCTGAAAGAGGCTATGAGGCTGTCTAGTTCAATCCATTTATTTTTACCCATTTACCCTTCTTCATATACAGTATAGCAGATTGGTGCTTTCCCCATTTCACTAGGTAATTGTGACCCTTTGATAGTTGTAGATGCTGAAAGGCATATTCTCTTTAGTTGCTAAATCCAGTGTCTTTTTCTTAGTCCTCATTTTTCTTTACTTCTCTGTATTATTTGATGCTACTAACCACTCCATTTGCAGGATAATCTTTCTTTCCTGTGTTTTCATGACTGCTTTCTCCTGGTTTTTCTTCCTCATAGTTGTCCAGTCCTTCTCTGTTTCCTTTACAGAATCACCATGCATGTCCTACTTCTGAATCTATACACCCAAAGGTTTTGCCCTTTTCTCTTTCTGTACTCTGTTGGTAATCTCATCAGCTCTCGTAGATTCAGTTATTACAACTATATAAATAACTCCAAAAGCCTGTCTGCAGCCAGCCTTCATCTCTCCTAAGCTTCAGTTTTGCATTGCCACTGACCTATGAGACATTTAAACCTGGATGTCTCATAGATACCTCAGATTTAGTAAGAGGAAGCAATGTAGGATAGCAGAAAGATCACAGTCCCTGTAGTCTCAGGACCTAGGTTCAAATACTCCCTCTGGCGCTTATTCCTTGTGTGACCTTGGGCAAGTCATTTAACCTCTGTAGGCATCAGTTTCCTCATAAGTTAAATGCAGGGGGTAGAGATAACCTCTAAGATCCTTCCTAGTACTCAGTTTAGTAACGTTCTCCTTTATAACCTCTGCTTTTGTAACCCCTACTTCAAGTGCTGCCTCCTGTGTAGAGCCTTGATTAATTAATTCCCCTAGGTATTTTCACTTCTCCTCATCCAACCCATTGAAATTGCTTTGTATTTAGTTTGCATCTATTTTGTATTTACTTATCTGTACTGTTTCTGTCCAGCAAAATGTAAGCTCCTTGTATCCTGGTGCTTAGGACAATGCCTGACTCATAGTAAAACCTGAATAAATGCTTGTTCAGCTAAACCAAATTGAATTATGAGTGGTATATCAGTGTTGCTTTATTTTTTTTTCCCCAAAAAAAGAAAAAGAGAGGCTGCACCTCACAAGTGTCTAGAGTGTTAGTCTTGGGGTCAGGAAGACTTATGATTGAATCCTGCCACCAGCAATTATTAACTGTTTAACCATGGACAAGTCATTTTAATTCTCTGAGATTCAGTTTCCTAATCTATAAATGGCTATAATAATACATGTAATACCTGCCTCATAAGGTTGTTGTGAGGCCTAAAAGTGAGGCTCACAGTGCCTAGAATGTGGTAGGTACTTAATAACTACTTGTTGATTTGACTCAAAAGAATAAAATTACTACTTAGTAAACCTTAAAATGATATGTATTCAGCTATCATTTCAGTTTTCATATTTTTTACTGCTTTTATTTGTTATACACGTGACAAATATGAACAATTTTCATATTAAAAAACCTGAAAAAAGAGGCTTGCATATCAACCTGTCAATCTCTGTTATATAAAGAGTATCATAAGGTTTTTTTGCTTTTTTTTTTAGGTAGAGTTGTCCATGGAAGATATTGAAACAATTTTGAACACACTTATTTATGATGGCAAAGTGGAAATGACCATCATTGCTGCCAAAGAAGGTACAGTTGGCAGTGTTGATGGACATATGAAACTGTATAGGGCTGTTAGTCCAATCATACAGCCTACTGGCTTAGTTCGAGCGCCTTGTGGACTCTGTCCGGTAAGTTAGGCTACTTTATATTTTTTAATTGATTTCAAAATGAACATACTGAATAGGTAACCTAAGAGAAATAAAACTTATCTTCTTCTAAGACTGTTGTGGGTAGCCACGAGCTGTCACGTGAATTTGCTGTCATAATTTTTTGCCTCATTGGCCAGTTATTGAGCAAATCATGTCTTTTATGCACAGTCATGTTTATCATGAGAACAAGGATAGACTGCAGATTCTGAGAGTTTGAAAATTTGAATCCTTAACTCCAAAGCTAATTAGTTTTGTCAGGTGGGCAAATCATTTACCTTTTTTTCCCTATAAAATAGCTCTTAAGCTGCTTGTCTTTTATTTAGACCTGCTGTTAAAGTGCTGTTTATAAAACTGTGCTTTTTATGCCCCAATTTCCTCATCTATAAGTAAAGGTAAATTTTAATTTATTCCTGACAACATTCTGGCATTAAAAAGTTGTTTTAAAGTTCTTGTAAGAAGAGGAAGAAACAAAATGTTTAGTAACAAAATCTTCATATTTATAAATCTGCTTATATTCATTTATTTGAAAAAATATTTAGTAAATATCCACTATATACAAGGCATCATGGGCAAGACAAAGATGAACAATATTTCTGTCCTCAGGGAGCTTAAACTAATGGTAGAGAAAGACAATATGATAATAACTCAGGTTTATGTAGTATTTAAAGGTTTACAAATGCTTCCTTACCACACTCCTGAAAAGTGAGTAGTCTAATTATTATTGTTCCTTTTTATAGATGACAAAATAGGCTCACAGAGATTAGGTAAGTGTCAGAGCCAGGAGATAAACCCAATCCACACTGCTTTTATTACATTTATACAAATAACTATCTACAGGGCAAAATATTGAAAATGACACACAAGAAGTAAAAACAGAGTGCTATCAGATTCAGAGGACAGAGAGATCACTTCAGCCTGTGAGGACAGGGAAGGCTTCATTTCATGAAAGTGATTTTAAGTTGAAGATTTAAAGATGAGTAAAATTTCAACAAAGAGAAGAGGTTAGGCAAGGCTTTCCTAAGCAAAGGGATAGTCTGACCAAAAGTACAAGACAGATTCAGAACATGATTAATAATTTGGTTTAGCCAGAATACAGGGTATACTTAGGGAAGTAGTAGGAAATTCGACTGGAAAGATAGTTTAAGGCTAAGTTGTATTTAACATCTCAGGATACTGAGGTGCCATCCTATGCGAGGATACTCAATTTGGACTTCATTCAATAGGAAATGGGCAACCATTGAAAGTTTGTGAGCAGTTTAATAACATGATCAGAATTTTGCTTTAACACTGGAAGGACAGGCACACTAATTGACACACAAAAAAATTAATTTTACTTTGAAACAAAATTCTTCATCCTGCTATCTCTATTTTCTTTGCCTTATGGATAAAAAAATGAGCTGCATCAATTGATGCAGGTTGGTTTTCCAATATATTCTTAAATTCCAGTCCTTCTAGTGGTAGGATTAATCTGGCAACAGTATAAAAGACAGATTGGAGGAGAGGGGAAAACATTAGAGGCAGAGAGATCATTTATGACACTCATACAAAATCTTGTAATCACAACTGGCGTTCGTATAAGGTTTTAACATTTTCAAAACACTTTACTTATATTAGCTCATCTGATCCTCACAACAGCTCTTTGAAGTAAATAATACAGGTATTATCTCCATTTTACAGATGGAGAAACTCAGGCTCATAGAGATTGAGTAGTTTGCACAAGATCACCCAGCTAATAAATTTCAGAGGCAGGATTCAAACCTAGGGCTTTCCAGACTTGAGTGCATTTTGCACTATACTGCTGTTGGTGTAGTTGTAAGTAATAGGGACCTCAGCTAAGATAGTGGAAGTTTGGTTACAAAACAGGGAAGGACATAAGTGACCCTGACTGTATTTGGAGAATAAGAAAGAGAAAAGTCAGAGATGACTGCAAGGTTTTCCAGCTTGAGTGCCATTGATAGAAATTTGGAAGTGAAGAAGAAGCAATGATTTAGTGGGGGGAAATGAGAAGTTCAGCCTTTAGGATGTTAAAATATCTGCCACTTTCTACCTGTCTGACCTTAGGTAAATCACTTTCTTTCTGGGCCTGTGCCTTCATCTGTAAAATGGTGGCTTAGATGATTGCTTCCAACTCAACATCTGATCCTGTGTTTAGCATGCTTTTAGACCCTAGTGTGTCAGCAGAGAGATTAGAACTGGAGCTAGAGATTGGAGGATCACCTAAATAGAGGTAGTAGCCGAAGCTATGAGATTAAATAAGATTGCCAAAGTAAATGTATTGGAAGAAGTGTGGGCAGAGAATAGAACCTTAGGAAATGTTCATATTATGTACAAGGGGAGAGGAGCCAGTAAATCAGTGAGAGAAGAAGCATGTAAAGCGACAGGATAAGAACCAGAAGAGTGCTGTAACACAAAAGCAGATTGAGTAGAGGATTTCAAGAAGGGGTTTTCTGCAATTTCACCTGCTGCAGAAAGAAGAAGAAAGATAAAGCTATTAGACTAAAAATTAGGAGGTCTTTGTTAACCTAAGCAGCACTTTGAGTAGAATAGTAGCAATAAAAATCTAATTGCAAGGATTTATAGAGGATGGAACATAGAGGCAACAAGTATAGACTAACTTCTCTTGAGAAATTTGTCAAAAAAAAGTGAAAGAACACTGTTGTTCAAGGGGTTAGTAAAGATGGGGAATGGTGTAGGGGAGGATTGGAAGCGTAATGGGGAAGGGGAGGATTGGAGAAAGCTGAACATGTTGGTAGGCACATTTGGTAGAGAGGGAGAGATTAAAAGTGCAAGAAAGGAGAGATGATTAATAAAGCAAGGGCTTAAGGAAGAAGGGATCAAGGATATAAATGAAGGAAGGAATAAATGAATTAACACAGAGAAATGTTAAGGTAGAGAGATAAAGAAATTGAGAAAACTCAAGTCATATGGCCTAGGAGGTCATCTTGATAGACTTTGGGGTCCATGAACTTAAAAAAATTTTTTTGATAACTATTTTTTGATAACCCCTATCTTAAAGCATTGCCTGGGGCCACAGAAGGGTTAAATGATTTGCCTATGTTAACACAGCCAATAAGTGCCACTGGCAGGATTTAAGCTAACGTTTTCCTTAAACCTAGTGTGGCATTATTTACTATTCCATGCTGCTACCCTAGATAAAATGATAAATATGAGCATTTAATTTTAGTGGTTTTTTAAAAACTCTAGTAATTACTAATAAATTCCCCTTGCAATTAAAGGTCAGATCATGTGATGATACATTATTAGGCACTGTCCTGATTCCTTTAAAATTCAACAAATTTCATTTTGAATATTGCTTGAAATAAGTATACTATCAGTTGATCCTAAGAAACAGATTTTTGTTGTAGTGGGGTATAATATAATTGATATCTGTGCCTGTAATGAAATTGTTTTTTAAAACTTCTGTTTAATTGGAAACTTTTTTTTTTGTTCCCAAAGGTTTTTGATGATTGCCATGAAGGTGGTGAAATTTCACCATCGAATTGTATATATATGACAGAGTGGCTGGAATTTTAATAGCAAAGTGTGCATTCTACTCACATTTTACAAATTCAGGAAGAAAATGAAGTTACTTTGCAAGCCAAGAATGTATTTATCATGAAATATTGAAGTTGGTTATGGTTAAAAGCACACTTCACTAAAAGAGATACAGACTTCTTACTGTGAAGAGCATATTTGTATTTATGTAGATTAAACATTTTGATTGACTGGGCCAAAAGTACATGATGCAGCTATTAGAGATTAATAATGAAACCATTCCTCCTGCTAATAAAGGACCAGGAAAATATAAGGAATTCACCTACCAAGCTGTCAAGAGGGATTATTTTTGAATGGTTAAGAGGAAAATAAACTTCAAGATAATTCTGACATTTGCCAAGGACAGAGGTAATAAAGGGAACTTGAAATTTCCCCTTCCTGTGTTGCTGCTAGAGGCAAGGAATTTTGAGCTGACCAATGCAGATACTGTGTCTGGTTCATTACCACCATTATCATTTTTCCCTTCATCAATTGAGCAAGAACTTGAAAGCTTCCAGATGAAAAGGCTTAAAGGTAGTACAAGCAGCAATAGCAAGCAACTATTGCAGACTAGGTGGATATGTGGAAAGGTTAGGCATTGTTCCCCAAAACATTCTATTTATTCTCATGTAATGCAATGGAAAAGCATTTGAAAAGCACTTACTGTTTGGCAAGAACCATGCTAAGTTCTGAAGACACAAAAGGAAAAGGGAGATGGTTCCTGCCTTCAAGGAGCGCATGCTGTAATTTGGGTAGACAGCACATAAGGGAGAATTCAGCTTCATGGCCAATGAAAAGGCCAGGAGTCCAACTGACAAAACAGCAGAGCAGATGGTAAGGCTCTGTGGACCTTGAGGAACAGTGGCAGGGCAGACAGTTTTCAACCATTGACTGTTGGGAATGGGGTAGTTGGGTGGGCACAAGGGTTAACATGGCATGTCTGGGTTACCTCTACCAGCCAATATGGGGATGGGGAGGAGTAGGGCAGGTTGGCATCCTGTTGAAAGTGGATATCCATTGTTTGAGCTTGGGAACTGGAATTTGAGATTAAGTTGGAAGGTTCCCCAAAGCTAATTCATGCTGGCCTTAATTCATTAGGTGCTCCTTGTGGACTGAGACAAGTGATGGTAAGGTCCTCCTTTCCCTGCCATGGTGGCTGCTAGCATTGGTCTGTTTTCAGGCCATCCTATTGTTGGGTTGGGGTAAGAAAACTTCAAGCCAAAATAATGACAGTCACCAAGGGTATATGTTTTTTTAATGTATAGATGTTAATTGCTATCCTTGTTTAGTAAAATCATTTATTTAATTTGAAACACTTGCTTTATTTCATAGTGTCCTAGGCGTAACTTAATGGCTCAGTTCCATTGTTGCCCATCATTCTTATTTAATGATAAATCATAATTGCCCTTGGAAATATTGTTACATTTTGGGCTTTAAAAGGGTGGCAGCCTCGAAAATAAAGCTGGTCTTTCCTCAGTATAGGTTGAATAATTTTGTGTGTTTAATATTCCTTTTTCTCCCTCCCTTTGTGGTGTTTAAAGTGATGTATACTTTGATGACTGTGATTTCATCAAGGTGTAAGTTCCCTTTGATTCTACTCTCACCTTATAGATTCATCCTGTGCTAGTTGTTCATCCTTGAACAAATCCTACACAGCTTGTCTACCAACATTCTGGAAGCCTTCTTCTAGGTCTTTTGTATTTTGTGGATTATATTTTGTACAGTACAGATTTATCCATCAGGTTTTTGCCACATTTCTAGCCCATCTTTTTTCGTGTTATGTCCTTGATATCTTTTATACTACTTTTCTAGTGGGAGGGAATAAGCATTTATGAAGCTCCCACTGTATGTCAGAAACTGTGCCAAGTGCTTTACAAAGGTTGTCTCATTTGATTTTTCTAGTGCAAGTCATCAGTGAAAGTATGCTAAAGGGGGAGTCTGCAAACTATAGCACGAGGAGAGTAGGCTGCCTATTTTTGTACTATTTTTAAAGTTGTATTTAAATACAATAAAACTTTACTTAAAAATGTAAAAAATTGTTCTTGTGAGGTCCTACAATAACAGGCAGCAGGCCAGTCTCTATCTGACCATGCTTTCCAGTAATGGCTGCACCTTCACATATTCTCTTCAGTTCACTCATCTAGGTTGCTGCTTCTTATTGCCATTTCCAAGACCTCCCCCTACTTCCATCAGTCAGTAACCTCTCCTCCTTTGAGGTTCATTGTATTCATTTCTACTACCTAATCAGACTCCTGGTAATTGTCTATAAACTTCTAGATCATTCCCCTTTTCTTCTTAATTGAATTCAGTACATGGCTCACAATTTTTCTCTTTTCCCCAACTCTTGCCCTCATCCAGAAGACTTCAACATTCATATTGACTCTCCTTTAAGCATCCTAACCACTCAGTTTCCTCAACCTACTCACTTCCTAAGACCTCTTCTACCCTACCTCAGCCCTAACAAAGATGAGCATATTCTTTTTTTTTGTTGTTGTTGTTTGTTTTTAATTAATTTGTTTTTAGTTTTCAACGATCACTTCCATAAGCTTTTGAGTTTTAAATTTTTCTCCCCCCCCAAGACAGTGTGCAATCTGATATAGGCTCTACATATACATTCCTATTAAACATATTTTCATATTAGTCATGTTGTAAGGAAGAATTAGAACCAATAGGAGGAACCACAAGAAAGGAAACAAAACAAAACAGAAGGAAAAAAAAGAGCAAATAATATGCTTCGATCTGCATTCAAACTCCATAGTTCTTTCTCTGGATGTGGATAGCATTTTCCATCATGAGACTTTTGGAGATGTCTTAGATCCTTGCATTGCTGAGAAAGGCTAAGTCTATCAAAGTTAGTCATCTCACAACATGGTTGTTACTGTGTACAACGTTCTCCTGGTTCTGCTCACTTCACAGCATCACTCCATACAAGTCTTTCCAGGTTTTTCTGAAGTCTGCCTGCTAGATGAGTATATTCTTAATCTTGTCATTCATCACCCACAAATATATCACTTCCATGTTCAAGAATTACAAAATCCCCTTGTCCAATCATAATCTATTGGCTTTTTACCTCTTCTTCTGCCTTCCCTTACCAAACTGTACTTTTCGTTCACATTGTGGCTTCCAAACTCAACCCAGTTCTCTCCCAGGCCATCTCTCCTGCACTAGCCCTTCTCACTTCTTTTCCCCATCTTAACCCCCTGGTGATCCAATTCAATTCTCTATTGTCTTCTTTTGGGTTCTTAGCCCCCTTATCATTTTGCCAATTGCACAGTTCCAAGTGTCAGCCTTAGGCAACCTGGATAATATTCACTGTCTTCACTCCTACCCAAGGTGCTGTTGAATGGAGGAGAAAATCACAAAACCATTCAATAGGGTCCTCTACAAATTTATGTTACACAACCTCAACTGGGCCTTCACGGCTGCTAGGTAATCCTACTATACCTTTCTCATTAGCTCACTATCCCACTTTCCATAGCAGTTATCTAAAACCTTTTCATCTTCACATAAACCTATTCCTCTCATTTGAGAGTCTTGTTTCGTATTTAACAGAAAAAAATTGAGGCTGTGCGCTCCCTCTTCTCCTGGCTTCCTCATATCCTCTGCCTTCATATTCCCTCTGCCAGTGCCTTCTTCCTTCACATGATGAGGTGGCCTTACCTTCTTACCAAAGCTAACCCTCCACCCCATACCTGCTCAAGAGATCCCATTCCATCCTGTCTCTTCCAACAGATTGCTCCCTCCATCATCTCCACTCTATCACATATTTCCAATCTCTTCCTGTCTACTGGCTCTTTCCTTATTGTCTATAAACATGCTCACATCTTCTCCATTCTCAAAAAACCCTCACTTGATCCTTCCATCCCCGGCCCTTTGCAGCCTCTATTTTCTCTCCTCTCATTCCCTTACAGTCTAGTTTCTAACCTTATCATTCCACTGAAACTCCTCTCTCCAAAGCTACCAATTATTTTTCCAAGTCTAATGGCCTTTCCTCAATCCTCAATCTCCTCAACCTTTCTGTAGCCTTTGATACTGTTGATCACCTTCTCCTGCAACACTTAGCACTGTGTCTGGCATATAGTGAGTGCTTCATAAATGTTTTTTGGTTGATTGATGCTGATTGATTTTTGAGACACTATTCTCCTGGTTCTCCTCCTACCTATATGACCACTACTCAAGCTCCTTTGCTGGATCCTTGTGCCTATCACACCCTCTAAATGTGGTTGTCCCAAAAGGTTCTGTCCTGGGTCTTCTTCCTCCACTACTTCACTTGATATCTTCAGCTCCCATGGATTTAATTAACATCTCTATGTTGATGACTTTAAAATCTACCTATCTTGACCTAACCTCTCTACTGACCTCCAGTCTTACATCTCCAGCTGCCTCTCAGAGATCTCAAATTGGATATCTAGTAGACATCTAAATTTAACACATCCAAAATTGAACTTATTATCCTTCCCCCTAAACCCTCCATACCTCTTTATTACTATAGAATGCAACACCATCCTTCCAGGCCTTTAGGCTTACAACCTGGGAGTCATCTTGGACTCCTCACTATCTCCTCCCCACGTCCAATCTGTTGACAAGGCCTGTCAATTTCACCTTTTCAACATCTGAGTACACCCTTTTCTCTGCCACTCTAGTGCAGGCCCTCATCACCTCATACCTCGAATATTGCATTAGCCTGCTGGTGGGTCTGCCTTCCTCAGAGTCTCTCCCCACTTCAGTCCGTCCTCTATTCAGCCACTAAAGTGATTTTTTCTTTTTCTTTTTTTTTTCGATTAAAATAAAATTCAAATTCAAATTTCAAAATTCAATTAAAACAAAAATGTGCTTTTATTCTGAATAAAAATATACATTCAAATCATTATGTCACGTAACTCTTAAAGACATCTGATGCATAATGAAATTACCTATGCTTTCATCAAAATGTAGTATTTTAGCAAATTGAATACTTCTTGACAAAGTTGTATTTTTTTTTAAAGAGCAAAGCAAATTGTTAAAAGGCAGATTTTGTGGGTTACAGCGTAACTCCTGTAGTTTCTTTTTTTCCCAATCTGGCAGTATAAGACCATGGAAAACACTAAGCCAAGTATCTCAATCACTGTCACTCCAAATGCAATTCCAGCAACAACAATCAAATTTTTCTTTAAATAATTTATAATACAGTCACCACATGTCTCTGTAAACTTGTTTCCCCATATACATTACCAAATATCATTTGTATTAGTAGTGTTTGTACATTCACATGATGCAGAATACTTGTCAAAGTTCTTTCCCTAGTCAGCAACTCTATCGATCAAGCCACAGCATTTAAACTTCTTTTGAAATTTGTCCAAGTTGTTTTTAAATGTTTCATGTTCAGTACCATCTTGAGTCAAAGTTTTCACCTGTTCCTGGAAATTCTTTTTAAATGATTCTTCAATCTTGGATTTGTAGACAATGCCTAATACGTCTGCAACAATCTGAATAATTGCAATCAGGGCAAGTAGTGGCACAGTAGATAGAGCTCCAGCCTTGGAGTCAGGAGGACCTGAGTTTAAATCCGGCCTCAGACACATAACACTCACTAGCTGTGTGATCCTGGGCAAGTCACTTAACCCCAATTGCCTCCACAAAAAATAAAATAAATAAAAAAGAAGTAATGCGATGAAGAACAAGAACAGCATGCGGTGAGTTTCTTTCATAGCGCCATAGCATCTCAGGAAACCAAGGACTATGATAATGGTGCCCACAGCTTTCAAGAGATTTATAGCTGCAAATATGGTGAGTCCAGATGCGTCTTCGTATGTGATATCTTGACCATGTTTGCTGACATGTTCATATATTGATACTCCCAGGATGATGCAGCCACATACCCAGAATATAAGGTTGAATGTAAACATAGAGTATTTTATAAATCCACTGACAGCTGCCATTTCTAAAGAAAATCAAGAAACCAAATAGCTCAAAGAGAATTCTCTTTAACAGGAGTATTCAGCAGTGTCCTCAACGTACCAGATGGATTTTCTGCATGCTCCTCTTACCTGTGCTTTTCTAATAAGCTTAAAGTGATTTTTCTAAAGCACAGGTCTGACCATGTCACTCCGTACTCTAAACTCCAGTCACTCCCTGTCACCTGCAAGATCAAATTCAGAATCCTCTGGTTGGCTCGCAAAGCCTTGCATAACCTAACCCCGTCCTGCCTTTCCAGTCTTTTTATACTCTACCCACTCCCACTCCTCCATGCCCCATACTTTTTGATCCACCCTCCTGGCTGTTGGGCAAACTAGATACTCCATCTCTTAGCTCTAGGCATTTTCTCTATCTGCCATACCTAGAATGATTTCCCTCCTCAACATAGCCTACTGACTTCCCCGGCTTCTTTTAAGTCCCTACTAAAATTACATGTTCTGGGAAAGCTTTTTCTAACCCCTCAATTCTAGTGCCTTCCCACTCTCAATTATTTCCTACTTGTCCTGTATATAGCTTGTTTGTAA